CGCCTTCTTCTTCGCAGCCGCCTTGACGGCCGCTGCGGTCTCGTGTCTCTCTCGGTCCACCTCGTGTTGCAGGTGTGCTTTCTTCCGTATTTTCCGAGCGACGAGTTTCCTCGCATCAATCCATCTCTGCAGAGCTCGGTTCTTGCCTGTGGTGTTTTGACGAGGAGGGTGCAGCACTCCCTCCCCACGGTGCCCGCGGTTGTCACCCTTCTCCCGCGAGCGGTGCTTACTGACGTGGTGTTTACGAATCCCTCTACTCCTCCAGCTTCGTGGGCCACGCTTTCCGCGACGGTGGTTGCCAGGTGCACTTTGCCGCTTTGCATTACTGCTGCGGGAACAGTGTCCATACACACCTCTCGCCACTGCCACCGTCTGTGCATCCTCACCGCCACGCTGAGCCAGCGCGGCGGTGAGTTGCACCTTGGGACACCACCCGCCTTCTATCTGTTGTGGCCTCGTTTGCCCGCGAGGGACTCACTAGGTCGATTTCGGCCCCGGCCGGGGAGCAGGCCGAGGGGGGGAAGTGGTGTGTTCTGTTTGTAAGTTTCTGTAGGGTATTTGAAATTGTCATAGATCTCATGCAACTATCCGGTAGGTATCGGAGGTGTCACAGAACTCAACAGAAACTATCGTGTTTGTGCGAAGGTCGTACAGAACCCACAGATCGTAGCGGGTAGGTTCACAAATATCTACGAACTTTTTCTGTAGGGTATGGGGACGCCACAGAACTCATAGGCGTGTTCTGTAGGGTATTGGAAGTGCCACAGATCTCACAAAACTATCCGGTAGGGTACCGGGATTGCCACAGAACTCGTCTGTAACGTTCTGTAGGGTATCGTAGGTGCCACAGAACAGGATATAGAGGGTATCCGAGCATGCCCTTCACACGCAAGAATATCCCAAGTGGAATCCCTCCCCTCGTTCTCTCTACAACTCGTTGTTCGCCATTGTGTCAGGTGACCGCAGAGTGGCAGAAAACAAACAAGCTCACATGTAATACCGGGTACGTTGACAACGCTGCTGCTTCATATGATAAAAAAATGTTTGCTTTTGGCATTATACTGCTGTCCCAGCCAATTATTCGAGCGAAGCGAGATTTCCATCCTTG